TAAGACTAATTGAAGGTATGTCCAATGCGTCACACCGATATAAAATATTGGAACAGTTACAAATAGGAAATATGTCTTTAAATACATGTATTGACTTCATGCAGCAACAAGAACTAATACAGACATACCACCATTATAAAAGTCAACCCACTGAACAAAGATTTGCTGATACATACGGGGTAAACAAGATAAAGTGTTCGTATTGTGGACGTGAACACAAAATGAAAAAGGAAAAGTGTCCAGCATTTTTGGAAAACTTGTAATAATTGTTTAAAAAGGAACCACTTTCAAGCAGTGTGTAAATTAAAAAAGAAAAATGTGGAAAGAGTTGAAGAAAACGACACCGATAGGGAAGTTTTTACGGTGAAAAATAAGACTTTTGAACAGAAGAAAAAAGACATTGTAGTAAAGGTTAAAATTAATAACTGCAATTTAGATATGCAAATGGATACTGGGAGTGAAGTAACATTGATACCAAAAAATTTTTGGGAACACATAGGTAAGCCACCTTTACAAAAAAGCAATTTACAACTCCGCCAGTTTGATGGATCTGTTATAAGAATATTAGGATACTTCGAAGGTTCATTGGAGTTAAAAGAAAAATTTGAAGTAATTCCTGTAATTGTTACAAGTTGCAAGAAAAACCATGGCCTTATTGGAAATGACATGCTTAACATGAATTCTACTAAGTTAATTAATGAAATAAAAATGGAAAAAAACTGGAAAGTTAAAGAACTATGAAGCAAGTTTAAAAGTAAAAGAAAATGTTTCCCCCCTCTTATTATGAGGCACGAAATTACCAGTACATTTATTGCCGTTAGTAGTGACAAAACTACGTAAATTAGTAGAACAAGAACTTTTTGAATATGTTCCGCCTGGAGGTAGCAAGTGGGCATCACCGATCGTGGTTTTGAGGAAAACAAATGGTGATTTATGTATTTGTGGAGATTATAAAATAGGAGTAAATCACAAGATATGCTCGGATTCATATCCTATACCCAATGTTGAACTTGCATTACATGCATTGGCAGGGATATCTGTTTTTTCAAAAATAGATTTAAAAACGGCGTACCACCAAATACCAATAGATGAAAACTTCAAAGAAGTAACCACGATAAATACGCCAATAGGGTTATTAAGATGGAAGAGAATGCCATATTTCAAAGGGCCATTGAACAGGTTTTAGGAAATGTATAAAATATGATTTGTTACCAAGACGACATATGCATAGGAGCTACTAATGAAAAGGAATTAAAAGAGAAAACTGAATTAGTCTTGAATAGATTAAGAAATGCGGGAATGACGATAAATGAGAAAAAATGCTTAAGCAACTCCAACAAAATTTCTTTTTTAGGTTATTCCATTTCAAAAGAAGGTATATCACCAGACCAAGCCTTGATAGAAAAAATTCTAAAAGTAGGTACACCTACAAATAAAAAAGAATTGGAGTCTTTTTTGGGATTGGTAAATTTTTACAGGCGATACTTACCAAAATACACGGACTTGACGGAACCGTTTGCAAATTTAAGAAAAAAGAATGTAGAATTTATCTGGTCAGGCGAACAGCAGAAAGCTTTTGAAACATTAAAAGAAATAATGTCAAAGAAACCTGTAGTGAAAATTTTTGATCCAAAAAAGGACATAACACTCACTACAGATGCAAGTGAACATTCGATATCAGGAATATTATCACAAGAAGGACATCCAATAATGTATTTGTCGAGAAGGTTAACAAACACTGAATTTAATTACTCGAACATAGAGAAAGAAGCATTGGCTATTGTGTGGACAACTACCAGCGCCCGACAATTTTTAATTGGAAAAAAATTTTTACTAAGAAGTGATCATAGACCATTGGAGTTTATATTTAACCCAAGGAAAGAATTACGCAAAGTCACGACATCAAGGATTCTACGATGGGCGATAAGATTGATGGCATTTGACTTTGATATAGAGTATGTCAAAGGAAATTCAATTCCACATGTGGACGCACTATCAAGATTGAGATTTTATAAGGAGTCAAAAGACAAAACGGAGGAAGAATTTGAAGATTCGTTCCTACACTTGATAGACTGATGTTTTGTCTTTAGACAGAATGGCTGCGGAAACGAGACATGATACAGTGCTAAGTAGGGTAGTATCGAGAATAAGAAAAAATTCATGGGGAAATTGTTCTAGGGCGGAAAGACCTTATAAAGAAATGAGGCATAAATTAACAATAGAACATGGAGTAATAGGCAATGGGGACCTGGTAGTTCCTCCAGAAACACAAAGAAAGCCGCTAATAGAGAGTGTACATAATGATATACACTGTGGAGTAGCGGCCACACAAAAAAGGATAAAACTAGAAGCGTGATGGCCGGGTTATTCAAGAGATGTTGAGGATTATGTAAAGAGGTGTAAAAAATGTAAAGAGTTAAGAAACTTTACACAAGCCAAGTTACATTCATGGCCCAAAGAAGTGGAGCCATGGAGTAGGGTCCATATGGATCATGCCTACATAAATGGAGTGGGACTCTTATTAATATTAGTGGACTCTTTTTCAGGTTGGCCTGAAATAATAAGGGTTGCAAACAAAAAAGTTCCACTATAAAGCAAATTCTAAGAGTCATATTCTCTAGAAATGGTGTACCAAAAACCTTGGTATCGGATAATGCACCGGAATTTTGCAAGGAGGAACTTAACGTATGGTTCGAGAAAATAGGATGTAAACCATATAAAACTCCTCCATATCACCCTCAATCAAATGGAATAGCAGAAAGGATGGTTCAGACTGTAAAAAAGGGGCTGAAAGCATGCTCTCAGCAGAAAGAAAAAGTAGAAGTTTTTCTACCAAGGATGCTTTTAAGTTATCGGACCATACCACACGCGGGAAGACTCGAAAGCCCATCAGCTCTAATGGGGAGACAGATTAGAGCTCCGCTAACTATGTCATACTCTACAAGTGAAAAGATGTGGTATAAAAAGAGCAAGGATGCAGATACGGAAGGAGCCGAGTTTATAATGCAAAAAGGCCATAATACAGCCAGAATAAATAGAGAGAATGGCGATAGTGTGTTGGCCCATGCTGACCAAATAAGGACCCAGGGTGAAGAGGAAGAACAAAATGACGAAGAGATGTCAGTTTCATCTGATAATGAGTTGATAGAACAAACATTACACAAGGAAACGTCAGAGGAAACAATGCAGGAGGAAGAGGGACAGAAGGACTCTGAAAATTCAGATGAAGACCAGAGTATGCAAGAGGACACATGTGACTACAGCCTAGACCGGGACAGATCGAGGTCTCCCAGGAAAAGAAATACGGGAGAGAGAGAAAGAGAGCAGAGTGAGGAAAATATCAGAAGAAGGAGTACAAGATCTACGAGAGGGATAAAGCCCTTGAGGTTTAGGGAGATGTAGTGATACTAGCAAATTAGTATGCATAATTTGCATAAGCAGAACTGAACATTCAATATAAGTGGTTACTGAGAATAACCACTAGAAAGTAAGAGTCTAGCAACTGATTAGTGCTAACCTCCACTTCACAACAAAATGTGATTCATGATGGACAGTTTTGGACAGGTATACCTCAAGTACCTCACAGATTCCTTGCTATGTCAACTAGCTGATGTCCTTCACTTATTTAAAGGAACTAAACAATATTCAGTAGAAGTCTCTAATATTTTGCCACTTGAAAAATTTAAATAGCTCAATCTACAAAAGATGAAAATAAGTTAAAAGCTTTTCCCCCTCTGAGATAAAAAGAAATACAAATGTTAATAGTGTTTAGTACAAAGGGTGCTAAAAAGTTTAAAATCAGGCCTACTTTTCAGGATTGTAAAATTTCTCTTTAAAAGTTATTTATGAAATAGTCCTGTATTACATAGCATGAAATGTATTACTTCCCAATTGCTCTGAAAAACACTCTTGTTTAAAATATTATTTGGATGAAATGTCTTATCATTGTCTTAAATTACCAAAACATTTACTCGGACTTAAAAATAAAATAACTGCAATGTATTATTGCTGAATAGATTTTCTCACCTTCCCAAAAAAGATCCAGAGAAATTCTAAGTTACTGATAAGATTTTATTTAATGTTTTTAAAAATGTGCTTTTTATACACAAAATATGCTAGCAATTATAATTGTAGTGTATGCATATTTACAAAAAATATTGAAATTTTTAAAAACTACTTCAGAATATTTTCAGTGTTTAAAATGTCGTAATGGATATGTATTAAGTCAAAATTTCTTATTTGATGCATTCATTTTAGAAAGTCTTAATCTTGGCATTTTTTAAACTGATTTTTTTTTATTTATTCACTTTATTTTATTTCATTAGCAAATGTGTATATAACAATTGAATGTAGTGTCAATAATACAAAAGTAGCCTTTGATTCATTTATTTTTCTACAGTCTTCATGTACCAGTAAAATAGCTAATTTCATAATACATTTATCCTATCTAATTATATTTAACACAGCTAATTTTTCTTTTGCACAAACCATTTCTTGTTGCATTAGAAATAGTATTAGGTGAAGTAGTTAAAATAAGTTCTTAGTCTGAACCACTCCAAATTCTGACCAGATGACCACATGTTAGATATTTTAAGAACTTTTGGGTGAAAGCTTTTCAGCACCCTCTCATACAAGAGAAGCTGCCTTTCCCATGAAAAAAAACTAATTTTGGTCATTCATTTGGCAGTTAACCAGTTATTTTGAGTATGGAGTGAATACTTTGGGCATGGTTTCATCTCTTTTGTTTATATGCATATTTTCTAGAACTATTTTAAACAACATTGTGTTTGTTTGATATTTTTCATATAAATTGTGATCTGGTTTATTTTGAAATATTTATTTTAAAAATTGTTGCTTGATTTAAATATTTACTTAAAAATTAACACATGCACAATCTTTAATGGAATATCATGGATGTTGTTTCATTAACACTCATAAATCAGGTAAATTATAATATTTAATCAGATGCTTGCATTTATTATAGAATGTTATATTTTCAGCTCAAAAGTGGACAAAATGTCTGATATTGTGACTGGAAATCCAATGGTAATTAAAATGATTGTTGGATTTAACCGGTAAGTAATCTTCATTACAACAAATTTCAGTAACAATATTATTAATTTCACCATTATTATTATTATACCACTAATTATTGAATTTTGAAATATAATTTTATTTCAAACCTCAAACATATTTTCAGAAGCTCTTCACTAAAGTATTCAGTAATCCCAAATTAGATGATGTATTTTAAACTGGAAAATCCTTCAGGTTTCTTTATATAAGGATGAGAAATTTATGCGATGAGATATAATAAACATACCACACTATTAAATGAGGGAATAACCCAGATATATTAGAGCTGTCATAGGCAATAGTAGATGGTCTCAAACAAGCTTTTAGGAGATCAAAATAAAAAAAATATAGAAATATAGATAGCAGAAAAGCAGAGTTTTACATAGTAGCTAGTGTAGTTGAATATCATATAGGGTCAGGATACTAAAGTTGCAGTTGAGCCATTTAGATGAAAGGATGTGAATATGTAGAATTTGTGACTCTAAAATGAAAAGACTGAAAAACAGTTTAGCATGTTCATGAATTCTGTTTGGTTACCTAAGTAATCAGCCAAAATAAAATTGAACAGAAATGAAAAAGTACTGTGCTTTCCATTCCCAAACATTATCAATTAAGAGAAAAATCTATCTTTCACTTCTGTTAACTCTTGACAAATTTTTACCTTTGTTTATTCTAGTTGTATATTCCTGCCCATTTCATCTTTAAATTTGCACACATGTACTTAATTTTGATTAAAAGTGTATTAAGTAGGTACCACCACAGAAAGTGCAATTTAAAATGAATTTTTAAAAATGAAAAAAAATCTTTCTTCAATAATTTTAGTTTTAATTTCAAGCTTATATATTAAATTTAACATTTCCAATAAGTAAAATACTTCACTGTATTTTGAAACTAATTTAAATTGACTGGAAGGATTTTTATTTTAATTTTTTATTTTTTTTGCTAAAATAGCTGATTAGTGCCCTTTTTTAGTTGTCTTGCATAGCAATGTAATTCTCCTTATTAAAAAAAAGTATAATTAATCTGATTTGAAACAAATATTATTTATTTTAAAATATTGCAGTATGCATTTTTTAATACATGGATAGCTGTTTATTTAAGCTGTTCACATGTTTGACAAATTGATGTTCATATAATGTTGTTCTATGGAGGCTTTAGCCATAAAAAATAATTGAATATAATGTGAGAACCTTTTTTATATATATATATATATATATATAAAAAGAAAGAACAGAACTGTAGCGAAAAAAACATATTTTAAATCGATTAATTTATAATATATATAAGTATTCAGTAATCTTAAAAATTTAAGAAAATATTCTCTGTAATCTAATGTTTTATTGAATTTTAGGTACTTTCTGGTTTTATATTTACCGTAGTTATCACTCTTATTTTCTGATGTCATGTATGATCTGTATCTACAAATGCAAAAAAATTCAAAATTCTTTTAAAAATATTTGATTGGTAAATATGGTTTTTACTTAATAATATCATCTAAAAGGGGTGAATTAACACAGATTTAAAGCTTAATAAATTATTCTAAAAATTTCAAAAAATGAAAATTCTTTATTCATCAGAAAAAAAAATTTCTTAAGGCAATAGTGCCCTTAATATATCTTATTTATAAAAGCAATTAAAATCTTTTCTAATTAAATAATGTCAGTTTTACTGCATTTTTTTTTATTTTAAGCTTCAGAGCAGATTTTCAGTAAATAGTGTTTCTGTTTGACAAAAACAAATTGATGATTTGAATTCTCCAAGGAATTCTGCTTTTAACTAATATAAATTTGAAGAGGATGGAATTACTTTAATATCTTAACTTCATAAAATTAAGTGAGGGTAACAGATGTAAAAAAAAAAAAAAAAAAAAGAATTTCAAATAATGTAATTTGGGATAAGTCCTGAAAATTTCATTAAAATCCTAGAATTATTTGATTTTTGCAAGAATTTCTAAAATGTTTTTTTACCACCAAAAAAGACACTGATTTATAGTCCATCTGTCAACACAAGAAAAAACAAGATTTTTAACCAAAATTTTGAACATGCTAGAAAATATTAAAAAAATTAATAAAACAATAAATAAATAAAAAATAATTCCTTTTAATAATAATAATACAAACATTTTGACAATAAAACTTTGTTTTTATCAAGTTTGGAACCTTTTTCATCATAGTATGCTCCTTTTTAGCAAATTTTGGGAGGTACCTAGTTTTAAGTTTTGCATCAGTAATAATCTGTTTAGGACCTAACATGATTGGATCATTCTCTGATGCTTTAATGTTTATTAATAAAGATGCACTGATAATTAAGCATGTAACAATTCTTTTAAAACTTTCAGATATCACTTTTGTATTTATTACAGTTTGATAACAATCCGTGACCAAACTGATCTGCTTATATTACATAAAGAAGAAAGTACTGTGTTTACCACTACAGAATAGCTTATAAATAAGAAGCATATATATATAAAAGAAAAATCAAAAAATGGTTCTTATCTTTTATGTCTGATAAGATCATATGACAAACATTTTTCTATTACACAAGTCGTAAGTTCATTGACTTATATTTAATGAAAGTTTAAATTCTTTATACATGAGCTAATAATAAAGTTTATCAAATCCCTTTGTGCTAAGAAGCCTGATTATCACAAATTGGAAGCAAACTAAGGGATTTGCCTTTTTTTATATATATATATATATATATATATATATATATATATATATATATGTTTACTTTTTGTCTACAGATTTTTTTCTGTAGGTAATTTTGGTTGAGTTAGGATTAACAAATTCATACTTCTTAATCGTTGAATTTGTTTTTTTTTTTTTTTTTGTTGCAATTCTTTCATTAAGTAAAAGAAAAAATTGTCTATTGCTTTACAGTACCTAACTTGATGTTTTCATGATATCCTTTGAATGTTTTGTCATTTAATATTTAAAGTTTTCTGTTATCCTGTTTATATGAACAAAGTGGGTTTGATTCTTAAAAATTCTGAGACCTTACAGAACTCTCTTTACTCAAGTATTGTATAATTTATATAACTAAGTGATTTCAGTTTTTGCCATGTTAAACTGAAAATACTCTTTGACTTCCAGAAACCCTAGAGGGCAAAGTGCACTTCGTGACCTTCTACATCCGTTGATAAAAGAAGTTCTTGATGATAAAGAGTTTATGATTAACACCAATCCTGTAGATGTTTACAAGAATTGGGTAAACCAGAAAGAATCTCAGACTGGCCTACCAAGGTAAAAGTAGTTTGTCATAAAATCATAAACAAATGACTTTTCACTTTTTAAATATACAATAAATTGTTTTGATATGACATAACTAACTAATCTTTTTAATTGTTTTATTTGTTACATTATGGTTTATGATAGAACAAAATCTTAGTGAAATGACATTTTCTTTTTGACTTGATTTTTCTATTCCGATTTTTTTTTTTTTTTTCAGTGGATTGCCATATCATGTAACAAGTGAACAGGCCATGGCACATGTTGAAGTACAAAAGCTAATCCAAGAATCTATTGTAAAATTGCAAAAAGCAACTGACAAATTCCTTCACACAATTACACAATCAATGGATAAAATTCCGTGAGTCATATCTAAAACAGCTTTAAAGATTATTTCAAAAGTAATCTTTAAAAGAATGGAACTAATAAAATTCCTTTAATTGCAGTAAATTATTTAAATATTCTAGTTGAAATATATCATAATTACTGTTGAGACAATTTATAACTTTTTGATTCTGAAGCGAACTGATTCTTCCCCCCCCCCCATCACGTTTGGCTTGCATCAGATTTTTGTATATGAACTTCAAGAATCAACAGAATTTTATATATGCTTTTTCAGTGGAATTAATTTTATCTTGAGAGTAAAAAGAGGGGAAAGGAAATTGTCATTGCACACGAATGCCTTGATAAAGTCTTGTAAATAATTTAATTCATTTATCAATTGCAAATCATGTGTTAATGGATTTGAAGATAAGTGGGTAACTTGATGCTGTAGATAATTTTATAAGTGATACTTCTCAGTTGGGCAGCTATAAATGATTTATTCATTGTTGGTGCATGGAATAATTTGATAAGATTTTCTTTGATATATAGAATATATATCAAAGAAATATATATTTTTTTTTATATATATTATATATAATATATATATATATATATATATATGAAAAAGTGAATATAAATATAAATAAATATATATATATATATGTATAATTATTTATATATTATATATATCTGTGTATTAGAAAAGCGCTCAATATCAGAGATAGAGCTAACATATTTGGTTGGATAGATGTGAAAACTGATCAGTTTTTGTTGGGTTTCACGCTTTAGCGTGAAACCCAGGTCACAAACTCACATCTATCCAACAAATATATATATATATATATATATATATATATATATATATATATATATATATATATATATATATATATATATATATATAAAAGAAATATAGTCTTAAGATGTGGTATATTTATGGGATAAAGTGCTCAATATCAGAGATAGAGCGTGTGTAAATATAAGAGTGAACATAGAAGTCAACACTTAGAGGCAACAGTCTGTTTCATGCTGGATGCAATCATCAAGTCACGAGTGCTGTTATTTTTCTCAGCTAATATATATATATATATATATATATATATGGGTCAATGGTGCATTGTGGGTAGTCTATTTTGGCGGTTATTTTACCGGAAGTCATTTATTTGTTTATTTATTTGGGTTAAATTATTTTGCTTGGTTTTATTTATTTTTTATTTGTATTTCTTATCTTATTTGTTATTTTTTTTTTTTTTAAATCGGCGTTTTTATTAACATAGTAAAAATTTGTTTATATCACTTTTATAATAGTTTTGGTTTGGAAAGATAAAGCTATTTATTCAATTTTGGGGTTGATTGTTGTAGTTTATTCTAACTATTATGTTGGCGGGAACACTTTCATGTATTTATTTGGATTGATTATCTTTGTTTTTTCTAACGGCTAGTTTATCGGGATCATTTTGTTAGTTTATTTATTTGGATGAATTTAGGTCAATTTATTTTACTTGTTATTATGTATTTGTTATACTGTATATTTTCTCTTTTCGGTTAAGTGACATATTTTTTTATCGTTATATAACAGTTATAGCTATATATTTTTTCTCGTCCGATTTTGATTTTTATAGTTTAACTAATATTTTGGTCATAATGGTTTGCTAATTTGTTTATTATTTACTTTATTTGGGTTCATTGATTTTTTTTTTTTTTTTTTTTTATTCTATTTCATCTTTTAACAGGTGTAATTTGGTAATTTGTTTGGGTTAATTTATTTTGCTTATTTTATTACATTTTTTTTATTATTATTATTATTTTCGATTTTTAAGTAACGTAGTAAAAATTTGTTTTCATGTCTGCATTTTGAGATGAGCTCGGATCTTTTATTTAATTATTTTTTTTCGTCTGGGAAAGTAATGATAGCTATTATTACCTCCAAGCAAAGTTTGCAAGTTTTTGATTGGTTGTTGTAGGCTGATGATCCTGCCTCCTGCCCACGTGATTTGTTTGATCCAGAAAGCAGAAGTGATGTTCATCCATTCACAGTCAACTGAAGATGTAGACACGGCTGGGGAGTCTGCACTAAGAAATTTAGAATGCAGCAAAAAAAAAATTAATATCTGCAGAAAGCCAGACAAACATCGATTCAATGGTTGAATTGTTAATGTCTTTTATATAGCAGAAAAGAATAGTAGAGAAGAGAAACGGGTTACAGAAAAGAAAAGTAAAAAACTCATACACTGGATTCTAGACAGAGTATACATGATTATCTTGTTAAATCGTCTCAGAATGATATATGACTCTTGCAATGGAGGGATAAAGATTTCTGTGCAGGGCTTAGTTATAGTGGCATTCCTCCTCCCAACACTTGCCTGGGCCAATTCTCTCTTCTCTCTTCAAGAATTTTCTCCAGTCTGCCTTTTTCAGCATAACTACATGTTTATATAGATAAACCCGGCTGGTTATAACTGACCCTCGGCCCTACTACTTCACACGTGATTATCACGGGGTTCTGGTTGCTTCAACCAAAATCATGTGAATTCCAAAGTTTCTTCTAGCTTACTCAGCTCTATTTCAATTTTTAATTGATAAAAATTATTACGACCATTCCCTTTGTCTCCTGCCCTAGATCAGATTTCCCCATCAGTAAACAAAATGCTCTGATTTAATTTCGCTATTCAAATCTACTCCAATTTTACTTTAAGAAAAAATGTGTGTGTTTCCCAGACTCTCTCTCTGTCACACTATCAGTCATGGCAATCTTTACTAAAAGCCATGTCATGATGCATCTCTTAACTAAAACTGGACGATTATCTGAAATTTTGTCGTTCCATGGAAAGCATAGATTTTTATTTCCCTGCTGTAGTTGGCTTAAGAAATTCAAAGAAAAAGCAATAAGAGGATAATCAATTTGGCTCAAAAAGTTAATCTGCTTTATCGTGGCATATTTTCTTTTACTGAGGTCTTATTACAATTAATATATAATTTGGTTGATTTTTGCATCCATTACTTCCCACTCCATTAACAAAGATGTACAAAATGTTATATGTATTTTAATCTTTGAATGAATTATCCATGTCAAAACAGTTTTAATGAAATGAAAACTATATAGAAATTATGAATTCTGGATAAAATAAGATAAAACATGAAAATAACTTATTTTATTGATTAGAAATAAAGTAATTATTGTTATGCTGACTTATTTTTATCATAAATAATACTTTTTATGAATTTAGAAGTACCTAGAAAAAATGACTTGTAAAAATGTATGGTTTAGCTGCAGGATTAGGGTTAAAGTTTTCTACAACTCGTTTACAATATCTAAAAATATTGGATTAAATTTATTGAATTTAATTCTGACATTAACTTTACCTTCTTAATAAATGATTTCTCATTAATTTTGCAATACAAAATATCATGTTTGCTCTTATTTCATATTTTCAATGGAAAGCTAAACCAAAATTCAACATTCAAAAAAAAATAACTTTAAGAAAAACACAAATTACTCATAAAAAATTAAATTTTATCAATTTTGTTTGTTGCTATGAATAACAATTATAGTGTGAAATGTTAAATTCATTTTATGTAACAAATAATAGCATTTTAAAATTTTTGCTGTGTAAAAACAGAATTGAAAAGTCTTTGGAAGAAAACTGTCAAAAATTAAATATGACAAAACATTATTAAAATTAACTTTCTTGGGAGAGAACTTGTAACATTTATAATAAGAATAATAGGATTTCTAAATTATTTCATTAAAATTGTTACATTTCAGCATAAGAAGCATGGTAAAAATTCAACATATTTTTTAGAATCAGTCCAGAATATGCAAAAATAAAGTTGATCATTAGAGTATTTGCTTTTATGAATAAAAATGTTGTAGAAAAGAATATTACATTGACAGTGAAAAATGTTAAATTAACTTTCAAGTAACAAGACCAAGTAAATTAGTTTTTTCGTGATTTTTGCAATGAAAACATAAAATAATGTAGCATGTCCAAAAGAAATAAAATAAATCTTATACTTCAGTGAAATAAGCTAAAGTTATTCCAAATGTAAAAAGCAAAAATTTCTTTACTAACTACAGCAACAAAATACTGTGAAACCAAACTGAAACTAAATATTTGCTCTTAGTGGAATAACTCAATTTAAGATAGGCCTCCAGTTCTGGGCAAGAGATGCACTAGGACTTAGCCTTTAGTAAAGAATTCCATGCCATCAGTAAAAATATTATTAATCAGAAGTCCTTTTGAGGGACAAAACACATAACATAGTTTTATTTTGCTTTATAAACTTAGAGGATGAAATTAATACCTCAAAGCAAACATTAGTAATCAGGATTTGATTAAACATGATGAATTTTAATATAATTTTAATATATTCATATAGTCTTCAAATGGATGGGTCTAGATTTTATTACGCTTCTATGAGGAAATAGAACTGATGTGCAGTTAAAATGTGAATGCAGCACATTTAAATAATAAATAAACCTGAAATGATCAGAATAATTCAAAGTACTGACAACAAAATATTTTAAGCAGTAAAATAGAATACTTAATGTTTGAATTAAGTGTTAGGTTTTATAAAGCTGGTGAGTTTCTCTTCCTACTTTATTCCAATATTTCTCTTGATACAAACACACTGCATTTAAGCAAAATTTTATTAATATTTTGTATAGATATTGTTATTACTGCTTTTTCTCAAGTATATTATATTGACTGACTGCATTTTTTTCCTTTTTCTTTATTTTATATTTTTAACTTTTACTTATTTTAAAAGTAAATGTTTAGTCATGCTGATATGAACAAATCTCATTGCCATTTTGCTTGACTGATTAATCTGTACATTTATTTGTAGTTTATCAAAAATGCAATTTTGTACCTTTTCAAAAAATGATGTAAATGTTTTTTGTTTTTGTTTTTTAATTTGAGCAAATGTAACAAAATCTAAAACTTAAGCAAAAAAATTACTTTGTAGTTATGGTATGCGATATATGGCTAAAGTACTAAAAGCAGCTTTGTGGAAAAAATTCCCCCTGGCACCAGAAAAAGATGTTCTTAAAGTAAGTTTTGTGTGTGTGGGTTTTTGTCTTGTCTTTTTTTTTTTTTTTTTTTTTCTTAAGAGTTGAATAAAATCTTTCTTTTGCTTACACATTTTAAAGTAATACATTTAAATGGTGTGGGTATAATTTCCACACATTTAATTTAACCCTTGTTTCTTCCAGTGACATTGACTGGGCTGAGATGATTGGATGCTATTCAGGTAGCTTCTGTCATTTATATTAAGACAAGTGTGTTTAATTTATATTAACAGACAAGTGTGTTTAAAAATGGCTTGAGTGGATTCTGAAATGACTTTATCTAAAATGCACTGTTTAACTTATGCTTATTATAATTATTACTTCAGATCTTATTTAACAAGTTGTACATTATTATAATAGAGAATATGTAACCCTAGTTGGCATAGACCTTTAAAAAAATGACATGAAAAAGTTTTTTTTCTTCACACCTAACAACTAAGATTTATTTATATCATCCTTTTTTTTTTTTTTTTTTTTTTTTTTTTTAAGTCGCTGTAAATGTGTTTAAACTTTAACTTGGCAAACTATTTTGGTTGAGATTTACATTGCTTACTTGTAATGTGAAATGTTCCACCCAACTCGGTTGCATAGACAAGAGTTCCTGATGGTGAATCTTATACTATTTGATATATCTACCAAGAATAAAGTTCAGATTTCTTGTCATTACCTCGGTCTTCATTTCTCTATGTAGAATAACGTATATTACTGTGGACTCCTTAGAAATTGCAACCACTCACTTAAATGATATTTCCATAACAGCTTTATTATTGCTGATATCTTATTGTAATATGTAATAATTCCTTCACCAAAACTTTTAGATTATTTCCTCATTTTCACAGTGCAGATCTGAAATTTCCCATTTAGTCTTTAAGAAATCCTATAATAATATCTAAAATCATTAGTTTTGAAATCTGCTTCCAAAACTGTTCGATGGTTTTGCATTAGTTTGTGTTTTATGTTCATTATCACAATTTATTTTATTTTGCTTATAAATGTTTTCATCCTTTCCTCCTAAATTTTGTTGACATATGTTTTATGCTTTTGTGAGTTTATAGTACTAAACTTTGCAATTTTTAAACTAAAATAATAAAAAAACACTTCCTAAAAATAAAACCAATTTCAGTTCAGCAGCTGCTTTGCTGATAATTTTTTCGTATTGAAATGTGTCACAAAAGAAAAGAAAAGAAAAAAATTTCATCTCTCCTACTGTCGTAGCGACTGGCAGTCTCCACTTCTGAAACGAACTGCCCTCCTTCTCATTCCAGCCCTTTACATAGAGCTTGGTAACTCGCCCATGCAAAAACACCAACAAGCCAGCTACCAATCAGTTTCCTCGCCTGCCCACCTCTACTCACTTTGGGGGGTGTTAAATTGACGAACCAACTCATTACACGCCAATCCTGATCTTAAGATCACAAAGCTCCTCAGCCCGAGATATGGTCGCATCTGTCTGATGACTGCGTTCCCATATACACAACTTGCATGCTTGACACATTGAGATGACCACACATGCACGAACTCGGTTGCTCTGAGGTGGCAGATTTCCAGATTCATCTTGTGTCTCGCTGCCATGATTGCACACCGTGCAACTCCGGGGGGGGCTCTTCTACCAGGCACTCCTCCTGAACGGGATGACAGGGTCCTCATCCTCGGATGAACTCTCATCCGTTGAGCTGCCATCCGAATTTAAATACACTACTCGTGCACCATCTTCAGAGTCACTTTCATCATCTGATGACAGTTTTAACATGATGAGATATGCCATCGACCTGCACTGACTGCGGGCTGATAATCTCGGTAACATGCCCCATTCTAAGCTTGTCCGTACACTTGCTGTGCAGGGTCTTAATCCACACTATATCACCAATTCTGTATTTTGCCTGCACGTCGCTTGGAGCCATTGTGATGTCGATGCCTTGCAGCCGTAAGTGATAGGCATGCACCATGTTAGCCGGTGCTGTTGTAGGCAAAACACCGTCTTTAGGCATCACATTATACCAATAAACTGCTTCGGGGATCGAACATTGTTTAATGGCTGCAATCACTTTTATAGACCGGTGGCTCCTTTCTACTATGCCATTTCCCATAGACACACCGGAACCGAAGCCGCACACCCCACTTCCTTAAGAACTGCGAGAATTGCTCCGAGGAAAACGCTGCACCATTCTCTGTCAATATTTCTGCAGGTGGCCCCTGGTTGTAAAAGGTGGACTCCAATTGACATATTATGCTGGCAGTGTCCTGCCAATGCAGCAGCCGCCAAATGGCAAAGCGAGAGGGACCATAGTCAATAATAGTCAAATAGAGCTGGCTGCCAACATGCATCTATCCCCAGCCTGTTCCAAACATGTTCAAATTTCCTTTTTGCTATTGCACTGGTGCCGGGCCAATTGACTGGCATGCCTTGCACCTCTGCACTACTGTCCTAACATCCGCCTTTTTGACTGCTGGGTCAACCATCTTGAACGCAGAAGCCATACACGGCAGCTGCAGAGGTTCAGACTCTTTCCGAGCAGCAGCCAACCAACGTTGTGTAACGCGAGTCAATGCATCTGCTCTGTTGACTGCCGATTTAACTAACGCTACATCCACAGACAGGTTGTACTCTTTGATAGTTTCAGTCAGCGTGGCGAGCCACCTTCGTATCAACATCTCACTCGATGCCTTGGTGGTCAGTCGCTTTCTTTTGATAAGTGCATCTGATATCCAATGCTGAGTCCATGACGATGTGTAGCACTGTTGCCTGCCATTGGGGTGCCAGGTTAACCCCCTTTCAGAATGGCGTCTAGTTCGGCCAGGTTTATGTGTCGTGCATCATTTTCAGGTCATAACTAGCAGGAGTCTTCTATGATCTACCCGTTATCCTCAAGGGCAACACACAGGATCATCTTGCATCACTCTCTCCATAGTTTCAGTTATCATGCATCTTAGGGTAACATCGTGCACCTCGTCGTCCCATCCTGACGAAACAGAAGTCACATGATGCTTTATGGCTCCTGCCGCCACTTTGAGCCAACCGCATACGGGAAAATGGCCTACCAGTTTCCCACACATGGAGAAGGTACTTAGACGACTGATCACTGGTGGGACTTCCAGGACGTCACTGCCTCGCCTCCAGCGAAGTTTTTCTCCATCACTACTGATGTGCAGTCAGAGTACATTCGCTCCATCCTGCAGCGGCTCTGGGGCCTTGCACACCAAGCCAAAGCGTTCTAGATGTTTCCTAACCCTCATTGAAGAGGCCATGTTTTCATTGACGTAGACATCGTCAATGTAGGATGATGTTGCCCTTTGAATTTCCTCATCCTGCGACATGACCACATTCATAATCACTGACGTGATTTTTGGGGCCACATTAAGACCAAATCCCAATCGAGTGAGACAATATCTCCGTCCTTTTAACATGACAGTCTGAAAGGGCCAGAGTGATCAGTGGACTCTGACTTGGAGGTAGGCCCTTCTTAAATTAAGAGTGGCCACGTTGCTTCCTTGTTGTCGCTATTCCCACAATTTCTGGGCACAAACGTCCACATTGGCCATCTACAAAGTTATTCAATTCCCTGTAGTTCATGACTGGTCTCACTTTCCCTTTATTCTCTTGCACTAATGCCATCAACGGAATCAGTCCTCGAGGCAGCCCTAGCTCCTCCCCAGGGTACAGCACAAGCCAGCCATTTGCTATCCAAAGCTGCAATTCATTTTTGTATGTGCTCCTGATATGCTCTGGAACCAGGTACTCTGCTATTTTATTTTTCAGTGGTGCAGGCGTTCGGCCAGCTGGCCAGCCGCTCGCCTGCCCACTTCCACATTGCGGTCCATACGCACCTGCGCTGGTTGAAAGTTGCACTGAAGTGAGGTTTGTTTATTGCAATGGAGGCTCTGAGGGGCACATTCTCAGCAGCAAAATTCACCTCACCTGACCCACTTATATGGACTCCTCCCACTTTCGCAATCACGTCAACTCTTAGCAGGAGGTCAAACCCTGGCATGGTTTGGTGTACAATCAATACCTCCACAGTTACCGGGCGTATGTTGTTGATTTTCAACTTCACTGTTTCAACACTTAGGCTGGTAAGGGTTTTTCCGTCGGCAGTTACAATCTGTGCTTTTTTAGGTCATGCTGACTTGCACATTAGTGTCTTTGAACACCCGGAGTCCACCAGGGCCATGCATCTCCATCCATCAACGAGCAGTTTAATCACAGGTAGCGCCTCAATGTTGCTCTTAGAGATAACTAAAATGGTGTCTGACACTTATACAAAGTTTGACTAACCCATTTATGCAGCTGTCTCTGATATTATTATTATTATTAAGAGTAACTCTTCTGACCAAACCAGTGTGGCTGATTTAAGGGCTAAGTGTTTCTTCTATGTTCAGAAAATACTCCCCTACACAGTTCCCAGCCAGGGAGGCTATATGCAATTCCTGCGGTAAATAGTGTTGCCATGTGAAAGTTTGTAGATCTAAATCCAAATCTTCTGGATCTACTTCTTCATCAACTACCTGCAATGCATTGGCAACCATACCCCTGAACATCACAATAATTGACAAAATAGTTGAATGGTAACCTTCTCCAAATCCGTTTCCAGATTTTGAGAAAATTATCACTTGGTACACATGTTGACGAGCCAAGCATTTCTATTAGCAAGCTAAAACATTCAGATCCAAAGCAATCCCCTACACTATACACTAAGATATGCCTTCCTAGGCATATTTTGGTGTATAGAGATCACAAGACTGATACTCCATTCCATTGCAAAATATTGAATTATCTTAGTGGAGAAGGAAAACTCACAGTGGATATCTGTTACAAACCTTTATTTACACATACATTTCAAGTAGTAATTTTATCTGGCTAAACTTAATAAGTGTCAGCTTATAAAATAGACAAATCCATTTCATTATACAATGCACTCAGAAACAAGTCTCTTCTATTACCCTCAACTCTGGAGGAGAAAAATCTATCTCAAGTTCATAGTATGCCACTTTGCCATACAGCTTCCAAGCTAGCCTCAAGATGTGTCAGTGTCCCACCAAGCTTCCAACTGTTATTGTCCTTCTTCCAAAGTGAGGAGACATTGGAACTAAAGGCAGGATCACTATGGTTAATCACTAAAGAATTAGAAAAATGTACATGAAGCATACATACTATTTTGAAAATGCCTCAAAATCAGATTGTACTGTATTTCAACAATTACTTGAACTTTGATCCAGCTGAAACATCCAAGAGGAAGATAGTTTTTGTGCATCTAATCCTAAGCCAGCAGGCTTGTTGTTAATCTTTGTCTCATTTGACCTTTTTCATTGTTCTTCCTACGGCATTATTAACATCTCCTTTTATACAGTTAAAAAATAGTGATATCACCAGTGTATGACTCTTGCCTAGCACCGGCATATTGTGCATAAGACTAGTGTTGCTACTTTCCATCATAGTTTGTACAGAAAAGATACCAGCAGTAAAATATGGATTGTGACAGAAGGATATCAAGATGTCAAGATGTGGCTTTCAAGCATTTCTGTTCGCCAGTATGGAATCCATGTTTAAATAAACTAGAAAACTGAACTCTTGTTTTCTTTTGTTGCACTTTTCTTTTCTTTTTTTTAAGAATTAAAGGTATTGTTGTTGCAACATTTTTTATTGTTCCATTTTACAGCCTTATTCAGGTTTCCTTACAGACTATAAATCAGAAAGCAGCTATAGAATGGAACAACTTAAATGCTGTAACATCAGCAATACAAAGAAATTCAATTCTTTGAACAAAACTTGAAAAATTACATTTTCACATTCTGGTTAACTCTCTACTGAATGATAGTACTTGGAATTATATATGGTATAAAAGCATTATAAAATATTTTCGGTACAAAATATATAATAAAAAGCTAAAATGAAGTTTACCTACAAGAATCTTTTTGAAGTTATCTATTTGATTAATAAGAGTTGTGATTGATTTTGTTAAATATTTTCTGCAATTATGTATTTCAGTTACTGTCATATATAATAAGTCTGTTGGTAAACTTATTTATTACAGTTTAAATAGTTATAACATTTTTAGAATGCTTTAATAGATATTGACACTACACCCTCTTTTCAAATAAATTATAGAAATAACTTTACTGATTTAAATACTTTCAAACTGTACAAGGTGACTATTCTGATGATTTTAAGTTCTGTTTATATCCTAATTGATAAATATTTATCTGAAAGTTAGCACTTTAATAGATTTTAAACTAGCAATAAATTTTCATTCCATAAAGTTTGATATGATTTCAAATATCATTTTATGCTAATCTGGCATTATTATTCACATACAGAATTTAGATTTTGCTAACTTTGGTGATAAGATATATTTGCTGTTGGAGAATTAGCAAGGTGTATTTGTAATTGAGAAATTAGCCAGGTATATTCACTCTTGGGGAATTAGCAAGGTGTATTGGCACTTGGGCAATTAGCATGGTGCATTGGAAGTCAGGGAATTAATAAAAATAATTCAAAATGAGTTCCTCATTTTATTTACTTTTTCATGCTTTTCAAAGTTTCACTCATTTCAAGATTTGAAATTTCAAAAAATGCTGTAATCAATTTTTGAATTTTTTCCTGAAAAGAACAGGAAAATATTTCAAAATAAGAATAAAAATTGAACAAAATTAACTGATGCATCCACTCTGTAATGTTTTTTTGCTTTTGTTTGGCATGAGTTCTTGGCATATTTACAACCTCAGTACACTAGCCTAATTATTGAACAGAAATTTTAGTTTTCATTGTTCATTGGCAAAGTATTGAAAAGAAAACAAGATAGGTAATACCTAATTTTCTCTATCATCTTATGGTAAAATTAAACCACACAAATTTTTAAATGAATTGAAATAAACATTTTACTTTGACTATTTATAACATTGTTACATTCTGCTTGTCATCTTTTTACACATGACTTAGATCATTTAAAACATTTAGTCCTTCTTTATTGTAAATATTTTTCAACTACATAATTACATTTTTTTGGCAACTTGTTAATGTTAATTTACTTTCTCAATAAAAGATGTATGAGCTTTCAGATTTGCTACTTTTGATTTAAAATTTATTTTCAGATTGTGGGCAATCTTATTTATTATCGTTATATCAATTCTGCCATTGTGGCTCCAGATGCTTTCGACATTATTGATATTGGAGCCAACAAAGCTCTTAGTTCTGACCAGAGACGGAATCTTGGTTCCATTGCCAAAATTCTTCAATTTGCTGCTTCCAACAAAGGTGTAAGTTGATTATTTATAACAAATTTTGAAAAGACAAATTTAGATTGATTTCATAATTATTTCTTGATCTGGTAACTTTTTGGTGTACCTAGTTACTCATTGGCATTTTTAACAATATTTCTCTCTTATCTTTAAGAATTTAAATAGTTTTACTGTTGTCACAACATAAAAACAGTACCTAACTTCAGATTTTAACCATTGTTCTCATTAATGTACTAAATATCCAACTTTAAAGTGAAATTGAAATTTAACAACATTTAATGAAATATTTTACTATCTATAATTTTCAGTTTGCTGGAGACAGTGCACATCTTTCTTGTATGAATGATTACATCAGAGAAGCACATAAAAAATTTAAGTAAGTATGATTTTGTTAAATCTAAAAGCAAAGAAAAATGTTATCCCTAATTGAACAAATGTATATCTTGACAAAATGATATCCATATTATTATTCACATCCATGTTCAACTTGCATTTCTGTCCTCCACTTAACAATTGCAAAGGTAGAATCTGAGATGGTGAAATCAGGTACATTAGATAAAATATGATGTTAGATATTAGTACTTGCAACTAAAATAAAAACATTAATTAAGATTAAAAAATAAAAAAGTAGTTTCCATATGCAAATAATGGTTTCTCTAAAAAATCAGTTATACAAAATGCTTGCATGCTATAGTTTTTAGTATTTGAAATTTTTCAGACTAAAAATGTTTAATTGCAATTTGAATCAGATGCTCAAAAGTACAAATTGCAGTTGTAAGAGTAATCACTCTACCAAAGAGCTGAATTACCCTTATCACTAAATAATCTGATGATGAATGCAAAGAATGGTACTTTTTTTTTTTTTTTTTTTTTTTTTTTCAACTTTTAGTCTTTTCTCATTGCTTTGTTATCTAGAAGAAATCAATCATTTTTTTACCTCTTGCAATAATTTCAGTGAAAACACTTTTTTAATGATTTTTAATGTTTCATCAAGTATATTAAATATTCTTGATCTTGTTTCACCATTTCCACCAGCCAGGTCTTTGGTCACATGTAGTGTAAGAATATGATTTCTCTCATCTTTAGAAGATAAATTCCTTTCTTTAAGTCCACTCAGCTATTGGATTTTCATAGGAATGTTGTCTCCAGTCCATCTTTGAGAGAACTTAAGTGTCAGCGTTTCAGGATTCATGTCACTAGTTTGCCTTTGAATTGGGAAATACAAAAATTTTATCAATGATTTCAGATAGTCATAAAAGTAGTCCTTTGAAGATTTGACCATCCATCTGGCTTTGGGGTGGTCTTAAATCTTCTGAAAGACAAGTTGATGGAGGGGGTGGGACTCCAGGATTATCCATATAAGCAGAGACAGACAGGAAGTCTGGAGAAAAGTGGGTCAAGCCATGAGAGAGGTTGGTAGGTGACCGGTGGAGTCAGAGCTGCCCAGTAGCCAGTGACAGAAGGATTGGTAGTGAGGAATCAGGAGTCACTCAGCCCAGAAGCCAGTGAAATTGAGGAGATAGAAGTTCAGCCAAAGGGAAAAATAGCCAGCTAAGTGAGAAATTATATTGTTGTGAACTCCCAATCGGTGTTTAAAAACATTTGTAATCACTAGTATTATTTGTTGAAAGTGATCATGGCTGAGAAGACAAACCCAACTTTGCACATAGCAAGTTGGGTGTATATGCAAATACAATCAACCTCGGATGTCATCACAGGTGCAGTGAACAACGGATGATTGGTGAACGTCATCACAAAACTTGTCACAATTCTGCCGTGAATGGTGTCACAGTAGGAAACCAGTTTTCATAATTATTCTTCATCTCTTTGCACCAAAAGAATTACATATTTGGTTATTATTGCAGATCGTTATAATTCAATCTCATAGATTGATGAACGATAGCCATAAACTTTCAATTATTTCCCTTGAATGACAAATATTAACCAGATATTCATACAGAAATCCCAATAATTTAGCGAATGTGGAATGGCATAATAATTATCAGCATAGAAAATTGAACTTGTTGAGCAAGTTCAAATTCTGTTTGATGTTTTATTTTGATTTATTAATAATATGAGAGTCATAATTCTTGTCTGTCTACTATCATTAAATATCTTGACTAAATGATCTTTATTGCCATGCTATGATAGTTTATAGAAAAAGACTGAGTAAGCACTTTAACAAACCATTCTCTCATAACTATCTTTCCTGTCTGGGCACTAGCAATTTAAAAAAAAAAAAGTTGTTACTCCATAGTCAACTTTGACAATGTCTATTTATGTGACTAATTTTTTTTTTTTTTTTTCTGGCAAACATGATTTCAAAATGAGGTCAAGTAAATACTATTACTGTCCCACCATATTTCAGTATAACTTAATTTTATGCTACACATTAATTTTTTTTTCCTTATCACTTATTTTAAAATTTTATTTACATAAATTATCAATGTTTTGTACTTTTATCAAGAAAAATAGCTTATTTTTGTTACACTTGAGCATAGATATGCAGTCAATTACAGTTTTTTCCATTATATTGTGAGAGACCCAAACATTATAGCAACTTACATATCCAAATATTTTCAAATGTCTTACAATGTCTATATGAAATAAGTGGAGTATCTCTGTAAAGTTCTATGTGACTTTGATTATTTTTAATCAGTGTTTCAATTTCGTCATCATCCATGAATGCCTGCCAGAATGTCTTCCAGATCAAAATGTTTTAATGTAAAAACATTTAAAATTCAACAAATAAATATATAGAATTTATTTACAAATGTTAATGTTTCGAATTCACAATGTATAAAGATATGAACTACAGGTTCAAAAAGGTGTGTTCACTCAGATAGGAACACACAAACAGGTACTGACAAACAACAAACACAAGATTAACATTTGTAAATAAATTTTATATAGCAAAATATAAAATATAGGAAAAGTATGGGGTGACAGACATGCAATTAATAAAATAACACTTAACTGATATTGGATGTCAGTTCAAATGTTTGTGTTTCAGGAATTTGGAGTTCAAATGTTCATAATAACAGACAAAGTTGCTGTAGTATGTTCAAAAAAAGTTGGTTCTTTCTTCCACAATGTAAAATATAAGATTCCAGAATAATATTTGTTTCCTCCTTGGTTACTTGGATGCAATCCAAGATGAAAGTAAGATGATTTCTTTGTATTTATTTGGATACAATATTCCTTTATCTATTAAATAGTCAAATAGATCCAAGATCTCCAGGATGAAATTTCCTTATTTCTTACACAACAAGTAATGGAATAGGTTTATGGGTGTATTTTTCTTGCAAAATGTTGTTGTCAGAGGTCATTGGGAAAACTAAAGTTAAAATACCAAAATTCCACTTGTTGATGTATGTCACATGAGCATAGCTGACCAATTCTTACTCATTTTCATAGGAGGTCATTCTGTTTGTTGTCAAGCGATCCCAAATTCTATTCCTGCCATTTCTTAGGAGGTCATTCTTTCTGTTCTCCAGTGACTCCAAATTCCTTTCCTGTCCTCTCTTGGCCACAACATAACTCAGTCCAGATAGGTAATAATAATAATAAAAAAAAAAAGGCGGATAGAAACACAAAGACAGCACATCCCTTGTTAAATTTATTGTACATCTGATTTAACAGTTAATATTGATGGGCATGTCACTGTGTGTGTGTGTGTATGTATATATATATATATATATAAGAAAAATGGTAGACCAGACCAGGGTTAAGCCAATGTGTGGATATTTTTTTAAAAAATACTCAATTCACAAAATAGAATGTATAAAGCAGATAACAAAATTATAAAAGATTAGAAGAAATTCACACATAATGCACTAACCATTCACAAGTAACTATCCTGACGAGACTGCTTTACACGTAAATTTCTTCTAATCCTTATAATTTTATTAACTGTTTCACACATTACTGAAATTGAGATATATATATCTCAATTTCAGTAATGTGTGAAACAATTTCACATGTTCAAATGTCACCTATTGAAAAATGCTATGAAATTGTTTCAACTAAGTAAATATTTTCATCCCTCTAAATAATTTCTCAAAATTTTTTTTGTTCTTTCATAATGTATAATGATGAAAAATTACTGATAAGTAGCAATGATCATCATTTTATAAATTAAATTCTTAATGAGTTCTGAAATATTATAGAAACTTTTTCCAAGTTGCTTGTGAAGTAGAGGACCCTGAAAACCACTTCAATATTGACCAATATACTGATGCAACCATGGTATCCAAGCCTGTGATCTATATGTCTGTGCAAGAAATCTGTGATACCCATCAGGTAATTTTTCTTTATAAATAGTTTTTGTATAGCTTAGTGATTCCAAACATGAAGCTATTTGAATATTTTGGTAGGCAATTTGTAATTTTGGTAAGAGTGAAAAGCATTATGTGGTTCAGAACTGATTTGTGTTAAGACATCAACATGTTAATTCTAAAACTTTTCAAATGCATTCAGATATGCATATTTTTAGCTGTTGCAACAATGCATATAGTAAAAAAAAACTTGGTGTAGATCAATGATGCTTTATTTTTTTTTTTTTTTTTTTTTTTTTTTGGCACTTGCAGCCAATCAGTCTTGTATAAAATATTTTTTGTGTGTAAATTTACATTCATTGGCAAGTAAAGATCTGCATGTTAACAACCTAAAGTATAAAAATGTCTAAAAGAAATGATTGTATGTTCATATTTTAAATCTGTTCTGCTCAAATGGCATAGTTATAACTATTTTTTATTTTGTTAAAATTAAGGAATTTACCTTCTCATCAAACTCCTAAACAATATAAACATTGTGTTTTAGAATGATGAAAATAGCCAACTTTTACTATATTAAGAATTTTTTTTTCTCAGCTATTATTAAAGCATCAAGATACAATTGCCCCAGACCATAATGATCCTCTGCATGAGTTACTTGAAGATCTTGGTGACTTTCCTTCAGTTGATGCCTTACTTGGTGAGTAAAATAACAATCTGATAAAATTATTAACACTTTTGGAAAAGGAATAAGCTTGTTTAATCCTTGTTCAAGATTTCACAACAGGAAATTGGGTAACAAAAAATTTCTTATATGGGTACCTCCAAAGATTTGCTAAAAATGTGCATACATGATGAAAAATGACCCAAACTTAATAAAAACAGTTTTATTGTCAAAACCTTTATATTATTATTAAGAGTAAAGCCCAAAGGATTTTTTGATTATTAAATTATATTTTTAATCCATTTTAGAAACTTTAAAATTTTGGTTAAAAATTTTTGTTTTTGTTGGCAGGTGACCATAAATTAGTATAGGAAATTTTAACATCTGTGGTGAAAAACATTGATTTGAAAATTCTTACCAAAATTAAATAATCAGATTTTAATGAAATTTTCAGGACTTATTCACAAATTAATGAAATTCTTGGTTAAAAACATCTTAAATTGCAAGGTATGTTATGAACACTATTGTCTTAGATTTTTTTTTTTTATGAATAATGAATTTTTACAATTGTTTTCATTTTTTTAAATTTTAATTAGAATCATTTATAAAATTTTAAATCTTTTAAAATTCAGTATTAATTTGTTTGGGTGATATTAAGTAAAAACTATATTTACTAATTATAAATGGAAAAGATTGCTACAATTCTGTGACTCCTGGTATTTTAAAAAGAATTTTGAGTTTTATTTTTGTCTATTTTTGTAAATATGGATGTCTATACACAATTTATCAGAAAATAAGTGTGGTAACTATAGTCAATTTAAATCCAAAGTACCTAAAATTCAATAAAACATTACATTAGAATATTTTCCTAAAATTTTATGATTACGGGGTAATTAAAAAAATTTTATGAAAAGGTGTTCACATTATATTTATCAAGTAATTTTTACAGATATGGCTCCTGTAGAAAAAGTTAGTGAAATTTCCCAAACATCAGGCTGTCAATAGGGCTGTCAATACCTCATAAAATCATCTCCTTCCTTGTTAAAAAAATGCTTTTCTGTAATATTTTAAACTAAAAATGAGTAATATTTGTTTCAAATCAGATTAATTAAGCTTTAAATTAGCTAATATTCATCAAATAAAGTTTCAAAATATTATTTATTTATGGCTAAAATCAGCTATTTTAACAGTTTAAAAAAAATCATTTCAATCAAGATTGGAGGATCAAGATTTCTTAGCAACATTAATGGTACTCCTTGTTTTAATACCAACTTGTGTGATGGCATTCCTGGAAGATCCAAAGAATTCAAAAATTCAGTAGGGAAGTTAACTGCTTTGTCTGGATCCATAGTTATGTTCTTTCTTCTGTTGGAATATCTTGCAGAATCTTCTGATTGATGATCTGTACTGTTTTATTTCTGGGAGTCAAAATTGCTCTCTCACAAAACCAATCTGTATTCAGGAAATTATCTGCTATATTGAGGTATACTTTAAAAATTAATTCCTCAATGCTCTTGACCAGAGTGCCGAAACCTTCAGGAAAGCTGATTTGTTCATCTTGATCATGTGAAATGTCTCCATTTCCAATTTTTAAAAGGAGGTCACTAAATTCCTTTGCTGTCCCATCTCCATTGAGTTCCACTCTCATTAGTGTCTTTCGATATGATCCCACAGGTAAAATAAAATTTTTACAGATAGTTTGTTTCATATGAAAAATATACAAAATTTATATAAAAAGTAGAAATAAATTTTGTTTATAATTTTCATTTAAAAAAAGTCAAAAAATTTTAATATGTCCAAAATTGCGAGTATCTTCTTAAAAAAAGGAAACATTAATTTGATATTGTAAAATATTGCACTAATTACTTAAAACCTTTTAATATTTCATTTTAGTTACATTTGCTACCGAAAACCTACAGGTATTTGTCAAAAAGAAAATAAGTGCATATTGTGACACTGCAATGTCGGCTCATGGTCAACTCTCAGTCGTGGCGCGAAACTGTAATGTTTCTTCTACCTGCATTTTGGGGTCGACTCTTAGTTGCTGCCACCAGCCTGTGTCCTGGTCGATTGGTGGTTGTCACTACCCAGCAGAATCCCTTGGTCAGAGTATCAATATGTGACACTGGCCCATCCTGGGTCAAATCCTAGTTGTTGATACCCAGCAGAATCCTTTGCTCGGGGTACAAAGTGAGATGGTCAGTCGATGCTAATGGCTTCACACCAGATGTAACTGGTTCAACACCAGCTCCGTCGTTCCCCGCTCACTTCCAACGTCTGGTTACCGAAGTAACTGCTTCGATCTCCAGTCTAACATACCCACGTTGTGATTTTGATCTTAGGTAGAATAGATCAATCAGGCGTCCAGATTGGAGGTGATATCGCACAAGTATAAAGAAAAAAAAAGCAAATAAACACCCAAGAGGTTCAAGTATGTTAAAAAAATAACAAATTAACTTTATCTGTCTATTATATACAGGAGTGTGTTTTTCTCCCAGCCCGTTTTCTACAGTGTGTGACACTTCTATGTTTCTTAAGCAAGTTTTGGTATCTTAAGTCAACTGGTTTAGTTTTTAGGTGCTGGCTTGGCTTTGTTCATCATTATAACTTGCTATTGATAAGATAGGCGAAGTAGGAGGTCGTGGAATCTCTCGGTCAGCTTCTGCGAGGCAACACTCTACTCAAGCTCTGACTGTCTCAGACTCTCTCTGACTCAACTCCTTCTGACTGTCGAATGACTCGAGAACGTTCATTTAAATGGGTACCAACCAAAAACCGGTGCGGGGTTAGATGTGGTCTTTGGTTCTCGGTAAATCTCGATTTCCCACAAGAAATCTTTGTTGTCAGGCCAGGAAAATTGATTACTTCCCATTTTTGGAAAATTAATCACTTTCTATATTGGGGAGGGGGTCTCCTCGTCCGTGAGGAGAGGTCAGAGGAGAGCTATCCTCCTAAACTCTTCCTCTCTCACATTGATACCTCATACCAATCCCTTCAGTGGGCGTTAATAACTTCTCCATCCTTTTCATCAAATTACCTCCATCTATCACCATTGCTACCACTCGACCAATGGCACCCCGGCCGTGCGGGTGTGGCTAATCTGGCCTCCTTAAAATTATAACCCAGAATTTTTGTTTACAAATTTTTTTTTTTTTTTTTTTTCATCGGCGAAAATTTTTATGATTCCTACATTGCCACTTAAAACCTCTCAGATCTTTTGGTCACTCAGTCTTCTTAACCAGCACCCTTTACAAATTCCATCTGTCAAAGTCTGCCATTTGGTCCCTTCATGAAGTTAGCTTTTACTGGAACCCTTGGCTTCTTGAGAAATTAAATTCCTTATCTCCCAAATCACGATTCTTCCACACTATCTTTTCTCATGCCCAAAATTTTATAATCACCATATTGCTACTCAATGTACCAGTGCCTGGCAGCAACACTCTGGTAAAAGTAAATAATAACAATCCTCTCCACCCCGTATTGGGATAAATTTTTCTCATGCCAAAATTCCCACAAATACCATATGGCTTTGCCTTGCCAGCACTCAAGAAAAAAAAATGATATCTTGGGAAGATAATTAACAGTGATTCTCTTTACCCCATATTGGCAGTTATCTCAGGCCAAAAATTTTATGACTGCCATATGGTCTGCCTGATATCTCAATGCTTTGCTTTTTCCGAATCTCATGTTTTTCTCGGCAAGGCATTTCTCTACAACAATATTAATCAATTTGTCAAATATATGGCTTTTCTACGGGTCTACTGTCTTTTGTGAAAAGTAACTTTTTCGGAAATAAAATAAAATCTTTTTATGGTATATCTTTTGGGATATCTTCTTTCCGTTCTCGGTATTCCTTGTTTTAATTTCTATGACTAATTAGTTAGCCAATTACCATAGCTAAATAGTGTCACAATATTCTCTTTTTACGACAGATTTGCAAAAACTTTGGACTTGGAATATTTTTAAACCAAAGTTGTCATTTGAACTACAGCTCTTTCAAAATATTTTCAGATATAATAGAAAACACATACCAAAAACAACAAAAAAGGTTTTGTTTGAAGTAAATTCAGTGGAAATTAATATAAAGAAGAAAAAAATAGATATTAGACATTTAACTGGTAATTGTGAATGGATTTCTAATTAAAATTAAAAGAGGACAATCATTTAATAGAAGTTATTTTAAGCAGTGTATGCAAATTAACCATTAGCTTATTTGTGTTTAAAATGAATAAATTAAAAAGGAAGCATTTTTGTTTTCCTTTTTTTGGGGGGGGGCTTACGTTTATGTATAAAATATTATTTGCTTTTTTTTTTTTTTTTTTTTTTACTTAGAAAAGTCCATTTTGGTATAATGTAGTTTGTTGAATTTCAGCACTGTAACTTCTGTTTTTAAAAAAAGCAACTAATTATGGATGCTAGATATATAAACTGATAAATGTTTGTTAGAAAAATAAACTTGTAATTTTTTTTTTTTTTTTTTTTTTAGGAAAAATTAGTTGTTTCCTATTTATGAAATGTTGAAGGGGTTGTGGATATTCAATATATTTGTTCAAAGAATATGACTGTAAAGATAGAAGAAATTAATTGGTTGGGTGTAGAGGCAGGCTTCTTTATAGTTAAGGAAAGTTTTACAAATAGATGCCAACTTGAAGGCCAAGTAAAATGCAAATTTCAAACACTTTTCTGCACTATATGACAATATTCCTGAACAGAACTATTTTATTTTTATTTCATTTTTATATGAAAATCAAAACAAGCCTAGAAGTAGATAATATATAATTTAGATATTGAGCTTATTAGTGTGTAAATTACTTTAAAGTAATTTGTAACATGTTTATTTATCATCTCTCAGTTGCGTCTCTGTCTTTGAGCAGATTGTGGCAGGGTTATCTCTGTCAAGGGACGGTGTTGTAGCTGAGGAAAATTATACTGGGAGGTACCAGCCCTGGGGAACAACTACTCGAATTCATACCCTCTCATTGCATTAGAGATGGGAATCGGTGCTTGCACTGAGGCCAGTGCAAACTGAGGGTTGTGGTGGCTTGGGGAATTTTTGTTCCTAGCTTGGGTATATGTACTTGGGCTCTCCACATTAAACCAATCTTGTGTCACAACATGACTTCGTGGTGTGTCGAGTAAATATGAAATTACTATAAAGTAAAGTTAGGACCTTTTAACCTCAGAATTTGTGGGAGAATTGTGCTCCAATTTCACATTTATTCATTTAGATCAACAAATTTTCACATTTGGTTTATTAATTTTTCTAGAAAAAGTTGGGTAATAAACTGGTTAAAATATAAAAGAAAAAGCAATAAAGTTGTTGAGACTAGTCTAACAATTGCTGTAGATTTTTGTATGTATTTTTTAAGTGAATTTTGTTGTTTTAGGTGCTGAAATTACATCATCTGGAGAAGAAGGGCTGGATGAAAGTGTCAGAGCTCAGTTAGCAAACAATGAAATTACTCTAACATTGACCAATAAATTTGAAGTTCCTGATGATGACAAATCGGACATAAAAGGAATGATGATAAGGTAACCCTTTTGTGTAATGTAGATCTAATAATTTCTGTTACAAAGATATTTATTTGTAAAAGACAGTTTATGGGAAATTATAATTAAATTAATTCTACAAAGAATTAGGTATTTACATCAAAGTAGAAATTGTGTAACTTGCATAAATGAACCAAAACTTGTATTTTGAATTGTCATTGTGGAATTGGTGATCAATTCATATTAAATTAGGCATATTTTTGCTTCTATAAGAACAAAATTTATCACTTTTACGTTTTTTTTTTTTTTTTTTTTTTTTTTTTAAAGAACAAAGAAAATGATTGTAGATGTTATTGCTTGTCAACCTGGAGAGACACTTTCACAGATTTTGGAAATCCCATCAACTGATGAACAGGTAAAAAAAAAAAAAAATTCTTAGCATAACACTTGATTAATATAAAAAAAAACTTGATTAAAATAAAATGATCAAAATACATTAATTGTAGCTCTGGTAATATAAAAAGAAAAAGGATAAAATGAATTTCTTCTTTTTTTTTCTTTTTTTTTTTTTTTCTTTGCTACTTTCTGTGTGCTCCATTCCTTTCCTGCTCATTTCTCCACAACTCTCATTTCTTTATTTATCTTATTTTTAAACAAGTATTTAGTTTTTATGTAAGAGAAATTAAATTCATGTCATTCTATCTGAACAGACACAGGAATATAAAAAAATCCACTACACTTATTAAACCAAATATTAAGCATAAATATTTTCAGAATTATTTTTTAAATTATCTATATAATTTCCTTCCTTGCTAACCTGGTAATCAAATATAGTGTAAATTTCAAATCAAAATACTATACTTAAATATTAATATAATAATGCTCATTAACTGGTCAGTTGAATTGGAAAATAATTGAAACTTAAGTAGAGCTTTTTCTGTTACTAAATTTATCATAGGCATGATATGATAATGAAAATTCATATATAGATAAGTACTCTATAACTAGTGAAGTAAATATCTATGAAGGTTAGAAGTGTCACAAATTGTACTTTATAGTCAGCTGTGGCAAGCAGGAACAACTTGCATTATTTTGAAACAACTCTAACTAGTTTCATAAACCAATTTTAGTCATAGCCAGCAATAATTGTTTCTCTAAATCCAAGGAAGGATAAATGCTATCAGTTATGAACATGAAGTCAGTTTATGGCCTGTAAAGAACACTTAACCAAGTATCTTTCAAAGAATGCTATAACTGAATGATGTTTTTTATTCTCTTGGACTTTATATGTTCTAAAGCCCCAAAAGTTCAAGAAAAACACTTATGCATCAATGATTGTTATTGCTAAGCAGTATGACCATTGTAGGATTTTAGGAATGTAATTTATGCCTTACATAATGTGAAAAATTGTTTGATTGCAAAGGATAGTTTTCTTGAACAACAGAAACAATATTCTTTTATGTGCCATGTCCTTTTGGGACATAAATGATCATGGCTCCCTAAAACTTTCTGTATTTTGTTGCTCTCAGTAATTTTTGATTGTTTACCATCCGTCTTTGCCTCTGTTCTGCCATTCATTCATACAAATCTGTTAAGTAGGTTAGTTGCTGTTTCTCCCTGCACCTCTTAACCTTCAGTATGTCTTCTGTGTCTTAAATTCTCTAAGCCTCGTTTCCTCATTATGTATCTCAGAAATTGCATGTCTCTTTCTGATTGTAGGTATGTTTCCTTGTTCCTATTTTTAAAAACTTCCTTATTACTCACATGTTTGTTCATGGTCTTCTTAGCATTTGTTAATTGAACCATATATTTGTCACTTCAAGTTGCTTCTTCTATAAGGAATATAATCAACATTCACTGCCAGATTTAAAGCAATACTAGAAATATAAAAGATGAAAGGAGACATAAAAATTAATTATTCCAGAAGGAAAATCTCTTAAGCTACAATTTTCTGCTTCCCTTTTTTTGCCACCACTTACTGTCTTGTTTTTCTACCAACCGGATTTTATAAAAAATTTTCTTATAACTCAATGCAATGTTATGAGTAGTGCTTACTTGTAAGCACTAGTCATAACATTGTATTGAAGAAAAATATTTACTAGTTATAAAAATGCATTATTGTTGGAATGAATGCTATTTTTTCTCAAACACTAAAACATTTATTTAATTTTCAAGGAAGAACATCATCAAGCTTTGGTACGGAAACGTGACATGATTGATAAAAAAGCAACAAACACAGGAAAGCTTGAAAGACAAACTTCTTTGCTTGGTGATAACAGGTTGGTTTTTTGCTCATTATTTAACCCAATTCTCATCCAGTCAGATTTTTTTTTTTTTCCAATCCTTTCTTGATCAAGCTAAGAACTCAACATTTCTTTGTATAACAAATCACTTTTTATTAGTATTTCTTGCATCTTTTGCTTGGAACTACTCCGACTTTCTGTCTATGACCATTATTAAACAGCATTTGTTCAAAATAATAAATAATAAGCTTTCTGATCTGCACTGTTTACCAATAATTAACAATGCTTCATTTAATAAGTCCAAAGTGTATTAATTTGTAATAAATTTTCACTTTTCAAAATGCAAATTGCTATGACATTTTGAAACTTTTTGTATTTATGGATCTTAGGAAAATATCTTAGTATCAAAATATAAGCTCCATTCCATCAAATCTTTTGAAAACTTGCTCACTTATATAATTTGATTTATTTAAGTAACAGTTGTAATGAATTTAAGTGATTTTAATTCACCTGTTTTACATGTTCTGTGAACTTTTGCAAAATATTGAACAAAAAGATGTATTATCAGTTTTAATACAGTTGTACTCATTGAATAAGAGAGGAGCTTTTCTTCAATTACTGCAAGTTATTTTTCCTTAGGATATTTTGCAAGACAATTTTATCCTTAATCATTCATTAACTTACATTGCAATTGCAGATTACCACTTGAGATGATGAAAAATAAAATAAAGAAAAACCTTCAAAATCTGGAACTTGCAAATTTGGTTACAAGAAAGAATAAATACCAGGATATCATTAATTCCATTGCACAGGTGAAAACAGTTTAAATGTGAAAATATTATCAAGTATATATAATATATTTTCTGTTTATACGTTATTTTAATAGATACAATTTATTTAAGTAAATACCCTGTTTTTTAATTAAACAGTGTTAATTACATTTACTTGCCAGAAATTTTGTAGCAAAATGTGTGTTGTCCAACAGGAATTGAACCTGTGTCCTACACAGAAACGTCATTTGATACATGCTATACCCACTTAGAGAAGGGTCTGGTTACAAAATTGATGCAAAGGGCAAAACTAAACTTTACATATAAGTTTTTCTCTCTGTACCATGTTTCTTTGGTACATGGTTCTCTACTGCTTCCATTCTCTTGTTACACTCTGAGTAATATTTGTTACTTTATGACACCTATTTCTTTTGTGACACTTGTTCATTCATCTGCTTGCTCAAACTTTTCAAGTAAGTTACTATTGCCTTCATTATATCCGTTGAGTGTTAAATTCTTCAATATTTCTTTCCTCATGGTATTTATCTATACATAAAATTTGGTGACTTCTGTCATACCCTCTAAAATAAAGAGTGATCAATTGAAACCAAATTTTGAGGAGAAGTGCAAACAGGTAAGTGGGTACAAAGTACAGTTGGTTTTAGTAGGTTTTTGTCAGTATTTTTTCAAATTGGCTTATTCAAATTTCATTGATTGGTTTGCAAAATTGAATGAAATGTAGAGTTTGTAAATCTTGACAAAAATGTTAGATAACTTCTACAATGCTAAATACTGTGTGGAGTTCAACATGTCAGCATGTTGCAAAAAAATTCAACTTCTAAAAATTTCAGTTATCTCTATCTGATTAACAAGTTTTTGTAGCCCTTATTCTCCTTAAAACTTTCTCATTTGTCACATGCTCTATGGTATTCTCAATACTTGGTATAGTTACTTTTCAATTGCCTTTTGTGACCTAACACTAACATATAAAGTTAAATATTATATAGTAGTCCAGTATTCCTTTTTTCTTTGTTTCTGATGTTATTTTTTTAATATAGGAATGTATGAAATTGCTATAAAAGAAAAAAAGGCATAGCATGATAAAAAACGGCCTTAAACATGATGAAAACAAAATTTTATCATCAGAATGTTTATTATTAAGTGGAAAGACCAAAGTATTTTTTGATTATTTTATTAAGTTTTTCCATCCATTCTAGAACATTTTTAACTTTTGATTTAAAAAAAAAAAAAAAAAAAAAAAAATCTTTGCATTAGTGTCACTACTAAATGACATAATAATTTCAGTCCTTTTTTTTTTTTTTTTTTGCAATGACACATTAATTTGGAAAATCTTGCAAAAATAAAAAAAATTGTTGGATGTTAATGAAACTTTCAGAAACTATTCTCAAATTATTGAAATTATTTTAAATGTTTATTTTTTTGAATGTCATAATGATATTGTAATTTTTTTTTTTTTTTTTTTTACATCTGTTACCTCCTGCCCCAACTAATTTTATGAAAACTCTAAAAATTCAATGCTGAGCATTTTAGTGATTATATTAGTTAAAAGAGGAGTCTTTGAAGAATTTAAATCATACTTTTTTTTTTCTTTTTTTTTTAAATTGAACCCCATGTTACCTAAAATCATCTTAAATGTAACATACAAAACCCATTAAAACAAAGATATTATTTAATTTCAAAAGCTTTGAGTTAATTTTATGAATAAGGATAATATTGTTTGAAGGCAAAAATTTTTTTTCAATGAAAAATAAATTTTTACAACAATTGTTATTTCTAATTTTTCTTTTTACAATTTCACATTAAAGTTCTTAAATATTGTAAAATTAATTATCAAAACTGATTTGTTTAAGCAATGATGATATTAAGTAGATCTATCTTTACAGGTCATAAATTTTAAAGCTTATTACAATCTGCAAACCCAAAGTATTTAAATAGATTTTTCTATTTATTTTTTTTTTTTTTTTTTTGTGTCCATAAAAACGGTTTTATTTCAAATGTATGGATGACTGTAGAAAGCATAAAGGCAAAATGAATTTTGTACCGTTTTATAGCAAGAGTCATCAATTATTTTTTTAGTTTCAAGTAACTTGAAAGTAAAAAAAAAAAAAAAAGTAATTAATTTAAAAAAGGGTGATTGAAAAAAAAAATATGGAAAAAAAATTAACACGTTAAAAAAAAAATGTATAACATTTCATATACGAGAAGGGTACCTAATTATTAACTACCTGTCTTATGAAATTTATATCGTCTTATTTTTGTATTATTTCAGTTATGACATTTTTCATAAATGAGATAATATAAAAATAAGAGATAAAATAAAAATAGTACTCTAAAATTTCATGAGATGCACATAAAAATTATAGGTACCTCTCTTATGAATTTTTATCTCACTCAGCAGTTATAAAATTTAAAACGTTTTTTATAGTATTTTTAATTTTTCCAGAAGGTATCTTCTACAAACATAAGCTTAAAGCTAAAGTGCCTAAAAAAAAAAAAAAAATAAAATGTTTGACTGTTGAAAGTATTTGTTACTTATTTAAAATTATGAGGTTAGTTGATTCACTTAAACTTAAAAAAAACTCAAACTAGAAAAAATTATGTTACTTCTATTCTTCTGTGCGATAACTTCCCTTCCATGTTAGCTGTCAATACATCTATGAAACAATCACTTGTCAATAGTCACCATTATTAAGACATGCTTTCTCTTATTTTAAACTACATTTTTTCTACAAAGAAAGTAAGTAATGTTTGTTTCCAAATATATTAAATAAACTTTAAATTTTCTAACTTTCCTCAAATAACTTTTAAAAAGGGTATGATTGATTTTTATAAGATTTTTAAACAGAATTTAACTTTTTACAAACTTCTAAAAAATGGTGACATTGATTTTATGGTAATTTTGCTGACTAAAAAAAAAATGACAAGATTTTTAACTAAAATTTTGGATGTGTTAGGAAGGATTAAAAATGTAAAAAAAAAAAAAATACTTTTCCTTTTAATAACAAACATTTAGACAATAAAAATTTTTTTGATTAAGTTTAAAGCTGTTTTTATCATGCTATGCTCTTTTTTTTTAGTGATTTTGTAGAGATTCCTACTTTAATCAGTTTCTGAAATATTATCTCAATATTTTTATCTGCCTACAGATTTTCCTCACTCTTTCCATTGTTCATAGTCAAGTTGTCTGATTATTTGAATTTCCTCACCTGCTTAATTTTGACATCCCCAATGATTTTGGGTAGTCTCTTTTTCTCACAACCATGTATTCTAATAATGGTTTTTCCTTTCCTTTTTGCTTTTGTCAACTCTCTTGTCTAATACTTTTAGTTTTTTTTTTGTGGGGGGGAATCTGCCCCAGCACTGTATAACCTACATTGTTGTTAAGGTTACATTTGCTGATGATAAATGCTGGTAAGACCTTTAATTATTGTATAAGTTTATCAAGGGGTGGGGAACATATCTTTGTCACACTCCTGTGTACTCAAGCTAGGACTTACCAGGTCACATACAGTTAATTGAATCATACTTATTCCTTTCATATTCCATTAGTAAGGAGGAAGTTCCACTGGGACAGCTTCTTCTCCAGAACTACTGCATTGTGGAACAGACTCCCAAGAAGATGCTTTCCCCAATCACTTCAATCATCAGCTATCCTCATAATATAAAACTTTTGCTCCCTCATTGTATGCCCTTACTATAATCTCATTTAGTAATGGCTTTTGGGCCTTGTATTGGGTGAACAATAGTAAAAAAAAAAAATTGCATACAAGCAATTTATGTCAGATACAGCTTGAAGGTTATTTGTATATCCTTTCCATGTAGATCAAGTGTTTTTTTTTTAATATTTCAAGAGCTTTTTGGTGTTGTGCTTAATAAAATTGCTGTTGTGTAATTTATGAAATGTAGTGATATTTATTGTTCCAGCCTCTTTAGAAAAACCACATTCTTCTATTTATGGCCTAATTTGACTCCAAATATTGTTCATTAGAATCTTAATGATTAGTTTTATGTGGCTGATCAAGCTGATTTTTCAATAAAGTTCACATTCCTGTAACAGGTAAAGCAATATGTGTAAAAGAGAATGTGAGATTTTCTGGTTAATAACATTCTTTCTCATCTTCATAATTTAAAAGAAATTCGAGATCTCAATTTTATATCCATTTATATTTCATATTTATTTTTGTGCACATGTAAAAGGGATTTTTATTAATTTCATGAATTAACATTTTGTAGGACATTCGTAATCAACGACGCTACAGAAATACCAGGCGCCAAGAACTCATTCGGTTACGTGCAGCTGTGAAAAGTTTACATAACAAGAGATCTTTTTATGAAGAACAAATTGATTATTACAGTGTTTATGTGAAGACATGTCTTGACAATATGGCACACAAGGAAAAGTGAGTATACCTGGCAGTGAAGCAGCATTGTGACTATCCAACTGTCATTAAGCTTTTAAAATCTTTGAAAGTTTTTTTTTTTTCATTTTTTAAATAATGTTTTATTTTTTGATTCCAGCCTTTCTTGGGTGTATGTTGTGTTTCCATTAATCACATCTTCGCAAGGTTTCTCAAATTTTTATTTAGGAAGCAGTTAATCTCTCTTGTACTTTCTTCTACAACTGCATGAAATGTACACACTGTTTTTGGATATGTTTTTCTGCATTGGAGGTTTTTTCCATAGTGGAATCACTGATGTTGTACAGACTGCTTATTCTCTGGATTTTTTTTCCGCCACACTGCTGATGTATAGGAGTATTGCTACTACTAGTTATTTTGTTAGCTTTTGTGTTGGTAATTGTTTCCTTAAAAGAGCAGATTCAACATTCCAATGCTTACAGCCACATCACATTGAAATACTGGTTCCTGTACAATCACCGAAGATGAGTAAAATCAAGCCTGGTCAATACCTAGATGGATGACGGCTTGGGAATACCAGGTGCTGTAAGCTTGGATATGTGGGTAGTATAATGGATAATGGCTTGGAATTGTTAATTGGAGAGCCGAGTTCCAATTCTTGTTGAGTTTGTTATATTCACTTACTTGCAAATACCCTTGGTAAAAATATGGGCTAATTAAAGACTTGTATCACTTAATTATCTTAAAAAAATATTCTTACAATCCAAAAATATTTTCTGGCTTTTAAATAACCTGTAAAGGGTTGATAAGCCATAGAAAAGGAATCAATTAATCAACATTCCAAAATACAACACACTTAAGGTTGAAATGTATAACAATCAAAAGGGGCATAATTTCAAAAATAAATAAATAAATAAACAATCCAAAGAAAAATCTAAAAATATCCCAAAAAGGAATTTCATTTCTACCAATAATAAAGGCATTCAGTAACATTTTTAAAAAGTTGTTTTAAGTTTTTAACTTGTTAAAGCCTTCATAATTTCTTTTTGAAAAGGGGATGAAGTTAAATTTTGGAGGAAAAAAAAATTTGTACACGTAATGAATCCCTTTAAAACTTCTCATCAGATTTATTAGATAGAACTTAAAAATATGTGCCTTATATTGCAATAAAAATGAAGATCTACTTGGATTTAATTATAGTTAAATGAAGAGTTTTCTAACAATTGCATAGTTGTTATGGAGTGATTTCACAGTGGAGGCTTGTATTTGTACTAAGTCGGTCCTAAAATAGGTTCGACGTACAAAACGTTAAGAACTTCATATAATAGGTATGACACAGTAATCTAGTTGTGGTCGCTGATACTTTTAGTATCCGACTAACGGTCGTCTGACATCGACTGACTGACCAACTCACTGAGCGACTGACTTGTTACTCTTACTACTCCTACTTATTATAGGTGGGAGAGTCTTAACTATAGAATAGGTGTGTTCCACTATAACAATAGTTCAGCATTTATGTAAAATTTGCTTTTCATTATTTAAATTCAATGGTTATAAGCTAATTTTTAATTGTACTTTTCAAATTAAGATTATAATTATTATAGATTATTTTCTTGATAAAATAGATGTAAAATATTAAATTTATATATTCAGAAATAAGTTTAACTACTCTTTAAACTCAATTGAATTTGATTTCACTAAATCTTTCCCAATATTTGCATGAAATTAAAAATTCTTGCTGTATTTTTTCTTCAAAATTGTCTAATAGAGTAGCATCAATATCTTGTATATTAGTACAGTTTGGCTATTCTGTATTGTTATTTATTCATGTTGTCTATTAAACTAAACCAATATCAGGCACCTCAAAACATTTTAGGTAAATTCTTTTCAATGCACAACCATTATATACCTTCTTGGAAATGGATGTTAAATTCCTATATAAATACATGAAAGTAAGTGCTGAGAGTAAGAATTTTGTTCATTTAGTTTGCTGATTTAGCTAATCTGGTTTTTATATTGGGTCTAATTTTATTATCTAAACATGGAATGGATTCTAATTATTAAAATTATTTTGTAAACTGAAACCTAAAAAATTGGACTGCCATACACTGGGTGGTTTTTTGCTTCTCTCTCTCTACCTACTTGTAAAAATGGACACAAGTGATATCTGAATATTAGGTAACAAGATAGAATAGCTATTTCAGACATGACTAAGTTCTTAGCAACAATAGCAAAGGTATACTAAGAATATATGAATACTAGAAAATCATCAGGGGCATGTGAAAACGGTAGACTGCCACACATAATGCAAGAATGAGACCTCCAGGACTTGATAAAGATGGTAACCAGCCAATGAATAAGAATATAGCATCAGCTTACACCCCAATTCAACCTCGATGTACAACTTACAGTACATTCTATGGAGTTTTATAGTCATTGACCAACAAGGTTACCAATATTGACATAATGCCATCAGTTACTGCAACTCACCTGAGCTAGCAAACATCACCATTAGACTGTATGGAAACTGGTGCCATGTCACCTTGCTAGATTAGTCATTTTTTCTAGCTCTTTTTGGCAGGCACTTGAGTTATGCATGAGGTTATGGGTTCAGCCAGTCAGTAGGATATTGTACAAGTGGGTGGTGGCTCTGTGGTATAGTCTTTTGTTTCACAAGGACTACTAGTGAAACTGGTGTTTGTCTTGGGTAGGAGTGATATACACAGATCTTGTTGCACACAATTTTACTCCCCACATTTCTGATGATGGTTTGTTCCATCAAAATAGGCATACTTAATACACTGTGTGTGGGAGAGAGAGAAACCGAACAAAACTGGTTCTAGGAACATTTTGCTGGCTTCCAGATACACTATTGGCCAACCACACTCACCAAATATCATGCCTCATTGAGCATGCATGGGACCTGTTGCAGACCTCACTAAATTCTCAATAACTATATCTGACTGACACAACTACATTAAAAAAAAATTACTGATTCCCGCATATTATAAATTCCATACCATGTCATATAACAGTTGTTCTTCAGACAGGGAGGAGGTAGCTAATTTTTTTAGTACTTCAATTTAGTCTTTATTTTATAAATCCCAGCCTATTTTAATTGATTCTAACATGAATTAGCCATTTGCAATATCAGTGAAATATCTTCAATTGTTGCCAAATTCATCTGCATAGTAGAAAAGCATAAAACTCTTTATTTCAAGCAAGTTTATGCATTTATACAACTTGCTGTATCTATGCATAAATCACAAGACCTTTTGAAAGATCTTAATAAATTGAACTAATTTATTCTACTTTAAAAAATTTAACCAATTCATAGTTATGTGATAATAAAAAAACTATTTTGAAATAGAAAAATGTTTTTGAATTTTTAATTAGGAACAAATTTATCTTACACTGCTTCTCTTGTTTTTCCTTTTGCAGCCGAAAATCTCGCTCATTTGGCTTATTCCGTAAAGATGACCAGCAAATAACAATTAAATATAGTGCTGCTCAACTTCATGAAAAAGGAGTCATTTTGGAGATAGAAGATTTACCTCCTAACCAGTAAGTTGATAGAAGATTCAAGAAAAATTTTGAATTAAAATTTTCTTTCTCTAAATGTAAACACTTTATTTGCAATATTTTGACATTCAATTTGAACTTGTTTTCTACTGAGTAAAGACAATGAAAATATTTCGTATTCAATTACCATTAAAACTTGCTAAGTTTTTACTTAGATAGTGTGCCACACTAATAATCACACTTATGAATTTTTCTCTTAATGGCATTTAGCAATAAACATCAACCTAAAAGAAACATTACAAATTTATGAAAAAATAATTTACTTAATAAGGGATGAAAAATAAAGTGTTATTTGATTAGGAGGTAGAAATATGTGCAAAAACAGAAAAGCAATAACAGGAACAAAAAGATTTAAGTTTAGAATTTTAAATAATGATGAAAAATAAGGTTTCACTTTGAATAAGAGGAGGGGTTGTATGAGTCCTTAAAAAAAAAAAAAAAAAAAAAAAATAACTCTTTTAGAATGTTTCTTTTTCTTCTCTTTCTTTTTCTTTGACACTTTCTTAATCACCATAGTCAAGGAAAATAAGGCTTAACGGTCAGTGGTACTTTTTTTATCTGAAAATATCAGGGTTTTTTTTTTTTTTTTTTTAAGGTTTAAGAATGTACTTTTTGAAATTGCAACAACTGACCGAACAGGTGTGTTTGAGGTAAATGCCAAGTTCTTGGGTGTTCATATGGAAAAAGTTGAGCTTGTTTTCCAGGTGAATATTTTTCCTCCTATATTTTATAAATGTTTGATTGTATTTTCCAGTGACATTTTAATTCATGTAAACTGATTTTTCTCTAAGAAAAAGTCTTAAAATCTCTCAACAAAATTTGATTCAAATATTTTTTGCTAAGATGCATTGTATTTTGTGTATATTTTCTATTATACCTTTGTAAAATTTTTATTTGAAAAATAGAATGAACAAATTTTTACTACAGTGTAATATGATTTCTAAACTATTTACATAATTTAATACAACTTCTGCTGTAATGAATTATTTCATTCTACTTTATAAAGATATAAAGTTTTGTCTATTTTTCTCTATTTATTAATTCTATTTCCATCTTTTGTAGGATTTACTTCAGTTGCAGTATGAAGGTGTGGCTGTAATGAAAATGTTTAACCGAGCAAAAGTGAATGTTAACTTGCTCATCTTTTTGTTGAATCGTAAATTTTATGGCAGGTGAAATGCAACCTGAATCTCTCCCTGTCTGCCTTATATGGACTCAAAAACAATTTTGCATCACATATATATATATATATATATATATATATATATATATATATATATTTTACAATAACAACATATTACTTCCAGCTATCAATTATATCTTATTACCCAAATATTCATGTATTTTATTCTTCATCTAGTGTAAATATATTCATGTTTTTCTCTTCTCTCTATCATTTCTGGACTAAGCATCCACTTTTCAAATAAGTTTTGATTGAACTTTGAGGATTTAAGAAAAATTTACTTAAGCTTCCCTCAGTATTTTGTACTATTGAGTCTTGACTAAAATATAATCTTATACAATCATAGGATGCACTTGTTTAACCCTAACCAAAGGAAAAGCTGAAAGAATGTTCTGAAATTATTTTTAATAAAATTCAATATGTACTCATCATGCAGTCAGCCATATAAGCTTTGAGAGTTTTTGTAGCTGGTAGAATATTTATTAGACTTATCTATCTTTGACATTTTCACTTTAGTTAAATAGCTCTTAGCTTATGGCTCATAATTTTTACATACTTGTACACAATTTAAGTAGTGTAAAAATATCAGTTATTATTTGAAGGAAGTGCCAAATCCCTTTTCAAAAGATATATTTAAATGTACTTGCTATAAAAAAAAATTGTTTCACTATTTTTAGTTCATATATATAATTTTGAATGTAAGCTTGATTTGTTTTTCACTGATTTTGAAATATTACTAATGTAATTGTTTAATGACATAATCACAAAGCTGCAAGTAACCAATAAAAAAACCAATAAAACCTAAGACTTTTTAATCAGTTAAAAACAATGTTTCTTAGTATATATCTAGCTTAGATTAAAAAATATTGCCAAATAACTATTTCCCACACTTGTATGTATGAATCTTATCAAATACGCCAATAAATCACACCTCTAGCCAGTATTTTGCACATATATTATACTATAAAATTGAGGCACATTTTATTTTCAGTGTTGCATGTTACATACACTCACACAATAATTGCAAAGTGTTAAAGCATCTTGAAATCTTAACTTTTTTCCCCAAAATCCCATATTAATGCAGACAGTTTAAGAATTTTACTAATAGTTTACATCATATTATCAAAATATCCTTTAGATATGCAACACCCTTAAGTAGTGATCATCTCTCAAAATCCCAAGTATATTTGCTTAATATTTACATTTGTGCCTATGGTCATAACATTGGATATAAAAGAATAAGTTTTCTCTTTTGCCAAAGTTTCTTTGCATATATGTAGATGTAACCATAGTAAAACATCAGTTGGGAAAGACTACAAAGCATTTTAAATACTCAGAATGATGCTATAGCTGATTATGGCTACTGCCAAGCAAAGGATACATAGAAATAGCTGCACACACACACACACACACACACACACACACACACACACATGTTCCACTACTTCATATAAATCTGCAGAAATATCTATATTCCTTAATACATTTTTCTATAAGCATTATTCTATGTAACTTTACATTTTATCAATTATAATTTGCCACAACTTATGTATTTATGAATTCAGTTTATACGTCTTCACAAACATTTTTAATTTAAGAGACAAAACTTTCAAAATATCTAAATATACTTTCATCTAAATTTTTTAGATGAAGGGGAAGCATTTTCTTTCTTTTTAACTATATTATTATTATTCACTGAATCATTATTTTAATCTTGTCTTTATTTTTTATAGAACTTTCTTTCAACTGATAGATTCTTCAATAAGACTTTTGAATTATCTGAAAAAATACATTATCATTTTCTGTTTTCTAATTTTGCTTCTGCTACTGCTGCTTTAATTTTTGTTGCTATTTTTTATATTTTTTTAAAGTTTTTGATTTAAATATCCCTAAATGTTCTTACTGCTGATATCTGGAAAGTATTTCTGCTGTATAGTGGGCTGATTTATTAAAAAAGCTTTTTCTTTTAAGTTGCTTTTTCTATTGAAACTTTCTAAAAATCACAAGTGTCCAAAAAATTCTTGAGATAGAGAATTACCTGATTAGTGGAGATTTAACACTTGTACTTGCAACAGCAGTATATTTTTAGGCAATGATTCCTATGGGACCAAATGTATTGATTTTAAAAAAAAAAAAAATCATTTTCTGTTCATAACTGTTTTACATCAATTTTGGTGACATTAATATGACAGTGATGAAAGGTTTTCAGCTCAGACAAGAAGGGATTGTTAAAAAAATCTTATGTTTGGCCAGATTTTAAGAAGTGTTTCAGGATGAGAACATTTCAGCACCCATGTATAATGTGGTAATGTCTTATAGCACTGAACTAAGTTTGAAACTGGGTAAATGAACATTACTGTTAAGGCGGGTGGACTAGAACATATCTACTTTCCAAAGAATATAATAAAAAAAAATAAAGTATTTGTTTACTGTAAACACTTTTTCTTTGAGAAAACATTGCACACAAATATAAATAAAGGCTAAGAGCTTCCTTCCATTATCAGAGCCTTGTCAAACCATTTTGAAACTTATAACTTTTTCAGGCTCTATTTTTCCAATTATATACTCTTCTATTCAATTTTTTGAGGGATGGATATTTTTAGTCTTCTGTTGGTAAGACCCAATCCACAAGATTTGCCTTCAATATGAAATCCGGTGTCACTTATTTAGAAAACTGAGTATGTGTATCAAAAGCAAAAGAATTATTTAGTTTAAATAATTCGTACATTTTCTTTTACTGTTGGAGTTGGTTTTAAATGATACTGATTTCTAATGTATAATAAACCTTGTATATAGTCAATGTATTTTTCACATCCAAAATTATTAATTTCAAAGCCAAAACTATCTTCAGTTCTGTTTGTAATCTTTTGATTGTTGTCTCTCTTTTCCATCTTTCAATGCTTCTCAATATTATTGATTTAATTCATTTGCTTTATCACATTTTACTAAATGTGACTACATTGCTCTTTTTTTCTTTTCTTTTTTTTTTCATATTATTTTTTCACATTTCTCTTCTGGATTTTACATAATTCAAATATTAGAGAATTATTTGAGAAGTTTTGGTTTGTGATTTGCATTTAAATAAAATAAAGTTTGCACAGTAATTGTTTTTGTTGTTTTTCTCACTTTCAATCAGCAAGCATAACTTTCACTGTAGCACATATTTTAAAAATTCAATAATTTTTTTTATATATATATATATATATATATATATATAACCTGTTACTTTTTCTGTTTGCATCAGCTAACATTGAAATCTACTGTGATGAAAATATTTTGTAGTCTTGAACTAAAAAAAAAAAAAAAAACTTTGAGATATACAACATCCTTCAAAGTAATTTTCTGTCTACTGACTTGAAATATAGTTTTTAGTTGAACTCATAAACTACCAATATGCCAATTCACTTTTTCATCCCCACCCATCAAAAATAACAATGAAAATTATTAAAAAATGAGGAAAGCTCAAATGTTTACTTTTGTTGTCTTCTGAATAGTTGACAACTGCTTTCACATGATATTGATATTTTTGCATTTTTCTCTGATATTGACTCACACTGATAAGTTTAAATTGTCTATCATTTTTTTTTTTTTTTCATTTATTGACTTGGCTTAGATTTTGTTTAGTTCTAATATGATGGTTAGTTAAAAACTTGTTCTTTTTTTTTTGCAGTAGTAGAAGTACCCAAAGCATATTAAAAAGAAAAGTGTATTTCAAATCTAAATATCAACCTTCTTTTTCAGTCATGATATTTATCTTTGAATGAGGGTATATATGCTTTCCTCAGAAGTTTCTTGGATGCTTACTTTAGACATAGGCAAATTTACCTCATCATTGCACCAATGTCTTAAGTGCGTCCTTTATGGGTTCAAACATATGTTGAGTTTGAAGGTGCCAAGTCCTGGCTGTAGGGTGGATGAAATAAAGCGATCCAGCCATGCACCATTTCTTTAAGCTTTTTTGTGTAAGATTTTTATTTCTACAATTAACACTGGATTTTAGTGTGTGCTAATGGGTTAATCTGTTGTTTAAAAAAAAAAATCGAAGGTCAATGGAGAATTTTCACTGATCATTAAATTGGTGAGCCTTAGAAAAAAAATATATTTACCTTAGTGCAAAAACTGGGCAAATATTAAAAGTAGCCAATTTTAAAACCTGTGGGTTAATAATATGAAGGTTGATCAGAAAGTAATACCTGTTTTTTAATTACAAAGTACACAAAGCATACCAAAACAAACACAAATATCTCGGGATTCCAAATATAGTCCACAGCATAGTCTCCTTAGAAGTTTCTTGGCTGCTTACTTAGACATTTGCAAGTTGTCTCTTTTACCTCATCATCATTGGAGAACCACTGTCCTCCTTTATGGGTACAAACAAATTTTGACAGGACTTTAGGATGGATGAAGTAAAGTGATCTAGCCATGCACCACGATTGTTTTTCCTTGAGCCTTTTGTACATTGTCATATTGCCAAAACACATTATTCATTTTCAAATCTGTCTTAGTTTAAAGAGTTTCTCCTATCTGTTCATATAGGTGTCAACAATATTAACTCCTTTTCTATTACCTAAACACAGTGGCCATCATTTTCTCTGTAGAGTATGATGCCTTAAGCTTCTTTCTGGGTGATACCACTCAGTAGATCTTCTTTTTCTCTCTTAGTGGTAAGGTCAGATCTCCTTTCTTGTAACTATCCTACTTATGAAATTGCTATCCATGTGGTACATTTCTAGAAGCTCTTGAAGACCCACCACCATCTGATCTTTCATGTATTCTTGTCAGTATTCTGGGAACATCCTTTGCATAGACCCTTGAGTAGCCAAGAGCTTGCTAAAATGCAGGTGGGTCATTTCATTTCAAATCAAGTTACAGGTGGCCCTCTCAGAAAAATCTAGGAAAATTCACTAGTGTTCTTTGACCAAATTTATTGATAAATCCT